GTTTGTGTGTGTGTGTGTGTGTGATTGGGTGGGGGTTGGCGGGCCGACCCATCCCCCACCAATCAATCAATCAATCAATCAATCAATCAATCAAAAAAAAAAAAGGAAAAGTAAAAAAAACGAGAAAAGCGGGCAGTTTTTCTCACACACACACACGCACACACACACACACAGAGGGCAGTTTTTTTACTTTTTTTTTTCACTTTTTTTTTTCCACGTGTATTCTGCAACGTGTCCGCGGCCCATTGGGCCTGACCCGTTGATCGGATTTCAACGGGAAGCCCCCGTTGTACCGTTCAACGGGGATTCAACTCGGACCCCGGAGGTGTACAACGGGTACAACGGAGTTGTACAAAACCCGTTGGGAGTTGAATGGATACATAGGCTTGCGCAATTCCTCAAGTTTCCTAGGCGATATTCGATAAATAGGGCCCTTGGGAGTCTTACTTCCATGAATGATCTCGATATTGTGCTTGAGAGCACGCTCAATGATCCCAGTAGGTTCCTGAGATAGATCTTTATACTCATCCAAGAATTTTGTATCGATGGAGGATAAGGTGTCGAAGACTCACCAACTTCCTTTACCAACACCATCATTACCTCCTGATCCAATTGCTTCTTCCAGACCATCGATCGAAAAGCTGGATAGCTCATACAACAGAAAGACAGAGTAGAGTCAAATCCAGACTTGTGATACAGTTTGATGACCTCGAGTTCAGATTGTTCGTTTTTCAGGCGTACTTCCTTTTCCTTGAACTTGATTTCTGGGTTGGCTTCCTCATGCCAATCCATTCCCAGAATCATATCAAAAGATAAGTTCTTCTCAATTAGGAAAGATACTTCATGCACAATCTTCTTTTCAGTTTTAGTTTTGAACTTACATTTCACACGATCGACATAATGAGAGACAGTGATCGTGCTTTTATCAGCAAGAATAAACGTGATAGGTCGTGCTAAACACTTTACCTTCATTCCAAGATGAAGCTTGCAAATAGCTCTCTCAGAAAAGTAGGACCGTGTAGATTCTGAGTCTAAAAGTGCACCCATCCGTTCGTGTGCGATCTCTACATCCGTGAGTAATAGTTCACCCTAAGACTTTGCTTTCTTTGCCCATGAGCTTCATAGTGCCAGCAACTCATTACCAAACTCATCAAAGGAGTCATTTAGAGAGACAGAACATAAGACAGGTTCAGGGTGATCTGGATGATGGGATGGAGGACAACCATCCTCTGCAAAGCGAGTCGAAGAAGTGAAAGGGTTAGTAGGCGCCTTACATTTCTCATCGTCTGACTTCTTCAACTCAGTAGGAGGAGATGCTACTCCTACTGGCGACTCGCTTTTGGGTGTCGGATGAGTGAACACCATGCAATAATGTGTCCCTCCTTTCCACACTTTAAACACTGCGCATTGTCCTTCCTATCCTGCCAGGTCTTTTGGTCAATCTCCATTTTCTCCCACGGCTTGAATGCCGCGATACCTGGGTGCGCAAGAAACGAGCGTGGTTTCCTCCCTCGATACGGACCTCGTGGTCCTCCTTAGTTGACCACGGCAGCAGTGACGTCCCCCTTTCCGGACTCACTGCTTCTGGGAACTCCTTCTTCTAACGGTAGCTTCTCCACTGTATCGTCGTCGAAAACGACAAGCATGTGGTCCTGACGCTTTTGGCGCCAAAGGACTCACTTACCGTATCTCGCACCTGCACTTGCACCACCAGATTTCACCACAGATGCATATGACTGTTTACCTTGAGAAGTCATTTGCTCTCTCTGGAGAGCCAAATCACGAAACTGTCGGTACTTGTACTTACCTGACTTTGACTCGGCCACTAACTGACATCTTATGGGTTCAGGTAAGACCCGGGCATAAATATACAAGACCTGATCATCCTGTAGATTTAAGCTTGGTACTTGCAGCAATCGGTCGACCTCACGGGACAACGCTTCCACAGACGTCCAATGTTTCTGACTTATGGTAATGAGTTGATCGAAGGCCTTATCGGTCGTTGTCTTGTCAAGGAAACGTTCCCGGATCTAGTCCAGGAACTGTTTTCAAGGTCATCGTACCGGCCTACTTACCAATATCATCGAATCCGGTTGCGTTAGCTTCGGCCAAGACCCAATCTTTGGCCTCCCCTCTGAGACACGTCGTGGAGAAGGCGACCTGTGATTCTTCTTCCACGGGGGTCGTCCCGACGTAGGTCTGTATTTCTGCAATCCACAGTAATAAGTTTTCATCCTTCTTATTACTGAACGTGAAAGGTAATTCCATCTTTACTTTTTCCTTCTTCTTTGGCTTCTCAGGTTTCTCTTCTTTGTCTTTCTTTCCTCCTGATGGGTGAGGACTGGATGGGGGACCTGATGGTGGCGTCGGCCCAAATGGTTCCCCCTTCTTTACTTCAACCCTGAGATCTTTCATAGCATCACTCATCAGTTTCTTCTCAGGTTGTTCCTTCCGAACCTCTTTTTCCTTTCCTTTGACCAAGTTAGTCACATTCCTCAATCCTACGGTCAATTCTTCCAACTTGGTTTCAAAATGGTCAAGTCTTGTTTCCAAATGAGCGAGGTACTCAACCAGTTGGATCAGCGCCACAACTTGTGCTTCCCCTTCCACAGTTACCACATGCTGTCTGACTTCTTGTTCTCGTTTTGCTTGCTGTTCATCTTGTTCTTTCTTCTTTAACATTTCTGCCTTGCGCGTTTTCTCTTTTTTAAGAGCTTCTTCCAATTGGTGGATGTTCTCATCAATCGTCTGTTCCATGACCACCACATCATTTTTGGCATTTCTGCCATTTGCTATGTCTTCAAACAGCAGGCAGATGTCCGCATCCAGTGCTTTATGGCAATGGATAATGAACTCCTGTATCTTCATCAGGTCGGTGCCAGTCTGAGGTGCATCCAGGTCTGCCTGGGTTTTCCACAGATCAAACTAGGCCCTCACATGTGACTCAGCCTCTGCAATGGCATCGTGAAGTTCAGTGGCCAGAAGGTTGAGCCGTCCAGACAACAATTGTCGTCTCTGCTCAACCTGGGCACTGGTACGAGGGTCAGGGAGCTGCTCAACGCTCTGGCCATGCGCTTGGGTCTGAACAGTCTCTTCCTGAGACATTTCAGTGTGGGGTATCTACCGCACAGTAAACAGAAATAAACAATAATTAATTCCGCGGCCCCACAGATTCCAAACAGCAGATTACAACAAGGTTAATGACAGCAAAAATAACTGCAGAATATTTTCAATTATTTTTCTTTTTCTTTTTCTTCGTTGTTCTTATTTATCTAACTCAATGTGATGACGTGCTTTTGCAGGTACCGATCCGGGCACAGTGACCAGATACACACAGGTGAGTATGCCAGCACAGGACAAACAAACGACACAGGGAAAACAWGCCAACATCAACAGCAATCAATATGTAAGCATCAATAGTCCCCTGCGTCAGTCCTGATCAAAGCAACAATCACCCTGTTGCGACAGCTGGGACTACAGCTATTCAATTAGCTGTACCGCTTCCGTCGTCAGAATGATCCTCCCACCCAAGCACACATGTGTTAATCACGTGACACCCCGGTAATGCAAATACAACAAGTATAAACACCTGCCACATCAGCACCCTACAATCTATCAATCAATGAAGGGGTGCCACGTCAGCCAATCTGGTCCTCACAAGTAAAGCCACGTCAGCCAATCTGGTCCTCACAAGTAAAGCCACGTCAACAGGTGGTTGCAATATTACCCCCCTGCCACGTCAGCAATCGGGGTCCCTGCTCAAGATCTCGTCAACGCGATGTAATTTCGCCACGTCAGCAAGATCTCTCTTCATCTTCAATACGTCATCATCTTCTTTTCACCGGTGCGCGCACTCTTCTCTATTCTTCTGCCACATCAGCAGCGCGCGTCCGGGTCTTGATTGCGCTAATCGTGAGCACGTTTGTCATCGTGATGTCCTTTGTCGTGGTGATGTTGATTCTCCTCATGGACGTGAGAAAGTCGGTGCACATGTAACTCAGACATCGGGGACTACCCCAGGAGGAATGACGCGCACAAAAAAAAAAAAAAAAATTAAAAAAAATCGAACAGTTAAAACCCCGGGACACAGTGACAGAGTTGAAGAGGAATCAATATAAGAACTTATCTACCCAGATACGGGGAGTTTCAAGCGACCATGAAAACAAAAAACAATAATACAGAGAGAGTCGAACGAAGCCAGCACACACGCATCTAGAGAGAGAGAGAGAGAGAGAGAGAGACGAGCAACACATCATATCACAATTACGCAAAAATCACCACGCAGGAGTCCCGGAATCGAAGTTCATTCATTACATAAACCATCTCCAAAAACGTATGCCCTCGCCCCTACGCGTTTCGTCACTTAGCATACCCAGTGACTCATCAGGAGGCTTCACTACCTCATCAACAACTTGATCCCGATACATAAAACAGTGGCTTACT